ATATATATATATATATATATATATATATATATATATATATATATATATATATATATATATATATATATATATATATATATATATATATATATATATATATATATATATATATATATATATATATATATATATATATATATATATATATATATATATATATATATATATAAAACCATTGTTTGTAATATAACCCGTCACAAATTCAAAAAATTGATATTGTGAAGGCGTTTGTGACGACCTTAATGATGTCATACAGAAGTTATGATTTTGTGAAGGCTTTTGTGATGACAAGTAAGGTGATAAATAAGTAACTGTTACGGCTTGCATAACGGAACACGCTCGTCATGCTTGAGACAGATTTTGTGACGGCTCCATCCATCACAAAGTGGGCATTCCATGGTGATAACTTTTTTAGTCTTTTCGGTCGCAAATCCGCTACTATGTCGTCACAAATGGTAGTGACAGTAAAATCCTTCACAAACATCCTTCACAAATTTAATCCCCGCTGAAAACACAAATTTAAAACATAACAGGCACACCTTTAGTGTAGAAATCTACACATGGTGCTGCTAGGGGGAGAAAATTCTTTGAGTCTAGGAATTGTTGCAGTATTATTAGTAGAATTATCAAAACCAAATGCAAACACTTTATCAAGTAAATTGTATTCTTTCAAAATACACTCAAGCAAAAGAACAATATAATCACCCTGTGAGATTCATTGAAATCAAGAAATGCAAGAATACATTTAAGCATTATCCAATCACTATCTATAATCTATGTAATGACAAGTAACACCCGTGTAAGACAAATTATGATAAGTTTCTCTCCAAATATTAGATCAAATAGTAACACGAGATATAAATGTAAGAAAAAAATTAGCTAAATTATGTTTTCCAACTTTATATTGTCTAATAATTTCTCTTTTAACTGTTTTTTCTTGAAAACCTCTTGCTTAAGGGTGTAGTGCGTTTTGACAAGAATCAATAAACCTAAATTTTTTTAAAAACATGAATTGTAAATTTTTCCTCCAAATCATTTCAGCCATTTTTTTACTTATTTTGCTCATCGCTATAAGCAAAAAGGTCACCCTTACCTTTGTTTGCAAAAGAGAAATTTGGGTTTGTAATTGTCCCTTCTTTGCCATTATTTTAGCATACTCCACTGAGTGCCTCGCTCTGAGGTGTATGGTCGGCGAACCATAACCCTCGGAAACTTTCATTTTTATGATTTCCCCACAATGTCTACAAATTCCCTTAACTTTTTTATTTTTTTTCTTTAAAAAATGATGTACAAATAAATCAGACTTAGGTTTTTACCTTTCCCCGAACCTTTAGAGGTCTTGGGCTCCCCTGTCTTGTCATCCTCCTCGGTAGGATTGTTTCTCTCGGGTATTGATTCCTCCGCCTCTTCAACATCCTTGAAAATATCATCAAGAGTGTGAAGATTGACATCATTCCTACCCCCATATCGCCCATGAACTGATCAAATTCATGATCACTCATGGAATTGCCTATAAATTGTTTGGGGATGACCTTTAGACGTGTCATGACCTTTAGCTTTGCCTTTTTTTGGACCTCCATGGTTCACAATGCCCATATGGACAGACCATCTACCAGAACTAGACTATCTCAACATTTTAATATATTTTTTGTGTTAGATAAAAAGTTAATAAAAATACTAGAATATTATGATATACTAAATTTCTAATGCTAGTAACATAATATATTTTTAGAGTATAAATTTATTAATATATTATACTTTTTAAATTTATAAAAATATAATATATTTATAATATATGAATATAGTATATAAAAATATAAAATATATATGATATAAATATGAAAGTTGAGAAATAATGAGAATTGAGAGAGAGAGATTAGAGATTTCGAGAGAGAGATTAGAAATTTTTGTTGTGAGAGTGTAAAAAATTCTCCCCTCCTTTCCAAATTTGATTACAAATTGGGGTTTACAGGGAAAAATTTCTCACTTTTTGAAATCATTTTATTTAAAAAATGATATATCAATAAGAAATAAAAATTACATATTAAATAACTACGTCAAAAATTCTACAAAACAAGTGGTGCCAAGAATATTTTTGTTGAGGACTTGTCGTGCAGTCCAAAACAAATTAAAAATTTATAAAAATATCCTTAGCTAACCCCCAATATATAATCAAATAAAAACTATAGCTAGAGCAAGTAAGGGTCGATCCCACGGAGAAAGATTGTACTTTTGAAATCAATTAGCATGCAAACACGTTGTCACTAATCACAACAAACTAACTACTACACATATGATAAAACGTATAAAACTTATAATAAAACTTATAACTAATTAAATAAAAAAAACTTATAAATATAACTTATATAAACAAAACAACTTATAGATAAACTTAGTAAAAAACTTATATAATAACTTAAAACACAAAGGGGGGCTGTTGGATGAAAAGTAAATATTTTTTTTTGGTTTTTTTATTTTTCTTATTTTTTTGGTTTTTTATAATAAAATAGGGGAAAACAAGCTCAAAAGATAATCAACTTTTCCAACTTAGGTAACCCAAGAAACACCGTCAAAAACCCGAAACAAAATTAAAAAGAGAACGAACACAAAACGAACATTACACGTATAATAGACACTTAGACAATATATTACGTAACTTACGCACTTAAAAATAGAAAAGAATTCAAAGGCTCGAGTTGATTCATATCCTTGGCCACATATAGAGGATCGTCAACTCTCTATAAGGCCCGGAGTCAAGAATTCAAAGCCTTTTGGTCACTTTGAATCCCCACTCACCTCAAGCGCTCAAACAATGATTCCAAAAAATGCAAAAAGTTTATAAAAGAGCGAATCTTTCTTTCATTCTAACTCCCATGCATAAATTATCCACGAAGAACATTTATACACTTTAATAAACTTTAACGTCTAATGATGAAAATATTTTGCAGGTCTCCTTGAACAACCCGAACATAAGAATTCTCGTCTATTCATATAAAAAAACATTACATATTTTCAAAAACTTAAAAATTGTTTTTTGTGCTTAAACAAATTTAAATTTTATGAAAATCAACACAAAACAAACGAACGACATAACAATCACTCTATAACGAATCTTAAGGAAAACGTCCAACTTATGGGGCTAAGAAGCCCATAATCCTTAAAATTTTACAAAACACATAGCACAACGAAGAATCACATATGAATTCGGAAATCATTTAACTATAATATGGAGCTAAAATAGCTTCAAAGAAAACCAAATTCGACAAACCAATCTACTTATGAAATCAAACAGTGCGATTCAACCAATTCAACAACAATTTGCACAAAAATTGAAGAAAAACTAATATGAATCAATTCTCATTCATAAGGGATTTAATATAACATTCAAAAAATATAAACCCAAAAAAAACACCAGAAAATTATTCACGGGTGACGCGAGTTTTGTTGAAATAACTCTCAGGTCCCTCTATTTTCAAAAAGACAGCAGAGGTCCTTACATTTTGTTGTAATGACTGGAACGAGACATTTCATCCAATATTTCATCTATAAACGTTAATGAATGTATCTTTTTCCTATTCTTTTCTAAATTTTTTAAAGTAATAAATCTTAGGTCGCTCCTTTTTTTATTTCTTTGTTTTTCTTTCATTTTGTTACTAATTTTTTAAAGTGTTATTTTAGAATTTCTTCTATAAAATCGTATAAAAATTCAAAATTGTTTGTATTATATTAAAACAAATGAAATAAAAAAATTTTAAAAAAAGAAAAAACAAGGTAATAGCAAAATAGGAAAAAAAAAGTATTGGAAAAATAGGAAAAAAATTAATTTATTAACACTTACGGATGATGTATTGGATGAAATGTCCTCTCTCAGTCATTACAACAAAATATAAGGACCTTAGTTGTCTTTTTGAAAATAGAAGAACCTGAAAGTTATTTCCACAAAACTTGCTTCACCCGCGATTAATTTTCCGAAAAAAACACCAACCATTTTGGAGCTGTTGGAACCATGACCGGGGTTGGAGATCGCCGCCCAATGGATCTGTTTCTGCCGCCGCGGCCACCACCGTCGTCGCCGGACTTGTCCACCGGTTGCCGCCATAGTGCGTAGATAGCAGCTGCCAAAGCCGCTGCTCTGTTTTCGTTCGATTCCCCCACTGAATTGTGAGCAGCGGCCTCCAAATTTATAGCAAGACGAAGTAATTTACAGTTGAATTACTTCCCGTTGGAGCGTTTCGTTGGTCGAAGAAGGTCGCCGCTGCTTGCGCGAAGAAGAAGTCTCCGCTGAGTTCTTTTTTTTCTTTTTGTGCGTGAAGATAAAGTGGAAGGAGGAGAGGTTTTGGGCTGATTCTTTAATATTGGGTTTAGGCTCTCGTCCAAAAATCTTTCTCTTGTTTTCAAACTTGAATTCTGTTTTGGTCTTTTGGTATATTTTTTTCCAGAAAATAAGATATCTAAAAATTTGGGTTAGGAAAAATAAAATAAAAATAATAAAATGTAAAAAAAATGATTAAAAAGCTACTATTTATGAGAGAAAAATAAAAGATTGTAAAAATACGAATTAAAATAAAACTAAGTTAAAAGACTAAAAATTAAATTCTAAAAATATTAAAAATACCTAAAAAAACAATAAAAAGAACTAACTCAAACCCAACTTATCAATTTTATTTTACCAAATACTTTATAAAAGCGCATAAATAAACAAAAGTTATCGATATGAGAGAGAAAAATAATTGTAATCAAAATGGGGGCGGAGGGAGTAATAAGGTATATATATAGCTTCGAAACAAGTAGGTCCCATCTATACGGTGTGATTCCCTAACTTAGTTTTAATATCCAATTTGGATTACCTTGGTCCGTCTAGGTCTGCAGCCCTTTTAGACTAACGTATGTCACTTGGTACATCACAATTCAGCGTTTCATTTCAACATATTCAATCCTCAGTAATATCATCAGAGTTCATAGTATTTCGTGGAAGCATAAATAGTTGTTTCAACAACTTGGCACATAGATAATTAACAATCACACATGATTCGTTACAATCACTTAGTATTCAAACAATAATTCGTTACCTCCAAGAACAGAGATAGGGTGAAGATGTGGATGCAATATTTAGAAATCATAGCTCTTTATTTCATTTATTTAAATAATAGTGTATTTATTTTTTCAGCCAACATTTGCAGAGGCTAAAGACCGATTTTAAAACCAAATGCTCCGATAACAAACAGTAACACCCCAACTCGCATAAGCCGGATACAATGGATTAACGGGTCGGTTTGCTACTAAGTCAGTATCCACAAACAGTATTATAGGAACAACAATTTAAAAACTATATTACAAATAACATAATCAAAAATATTGTTCAAAACATTATCAATCATTTTTGGAGATTTCATAATAGTGTGGAAGCTTATGTACACAACTCTCATTATTTGATCATTACCAAAATTCGTTCGTTCAAAGCTCTATTTAACTGATCTGTAGTTTGAGCCCACATCCGTAACTCCCATCCGTCTTGCTGCTTCTTGGGGAATATTCCATCTTTAACATAAATTACACGTGTGCGTAGCAAATAAAATATACTACACGCTTAGCGGTGAAGCTGAGTAAGGATATCTAATGCATCGAACATCCATACAAATTAAATCTCAATTCATAATCAAATCAAATGGTATCATCCAAGCAAGAGGCAATTTCAATCATTCATCGTCACACAGTTATTATTTGCTTAACATTCGTTATAATTTCATCCTAACACAACAGTTTTATCCATCTATTTGATATCTAAAACTATTTCTAGTTTAAGGCCAAATTAATAATAAGACTCTTAGATTATTCTTAATCTAATGCAAAATGAATAACCACGCTTCTAGACAAATATAGTCTAAGACAAAATGAATAGCCAGACTCTTAGGCTAATCTAGTCTAAGGCAAATTTATGTTAATAACCAGTCTCTTAGACTATAAAGTAGTTTAAGGGAAATTTATGTTAAGAACCAGACTCTTAAATTATAAGATAGTTTAAGGCAACTTTATATTAATAAGAGACTCTTAAACTATAAAATAATTTAAGGAAAATTTATATTATTAACCATACACTTAAAATATAAAATAGTTTAAGGTAAAAAGATAACCAGACTCTTAAAATATAAAAATAGTTTAAGACAAAAAGATAACCAGACTCTTAAACTATAAATAGTTTAAGGCAGAAAACCGAAAAGCGGACTACTGATTGTCGGGTTGGGTGGCACCCCCAAATGAATAGTTACTCAAGTTTGTTTTATGGATTCTGTACGTACGTTTTAACCCGAGCCACCGGACATCATACCCACAAGGCCTAACTAGATTAGTCATATGGGGTATATTTTAGAGCTCTTCTAGATAACCTTAATAATCAATTAATCAATAACATCATCATTAAATTGTTTAGAACATATTCATCATCATAATAATATTCAATAATCCCAATCATGCACGTTTTAGTCATACAAACATATATATGCATGGTTATATTTTGAACAATCCTAATCTCTTATTACATTTATCATGTAGTCCATTTTATTCATGTTAACAATATATCAATATTTAATCAAGGGTAAATCATCATCAACATCATTTCATTATGGTATAATCATCAATATCATTACAATATTCAATAATTATCAATACACAATACCATAATAGCAAATAGCGGCCTAACGTCGAGTGTTAACACCCTAGCTTACCGTCATGCAACTAATCTAGTTCTTAAATTCATTAAAACATCATATTTAATTTGGAATAGATATTTATAATGATTTATAATTGAATGATATCAAAAAGAAGATTTTACACTTCAAAAATCAGGTTTGTGGAAAAAAGGTTTCGGGTAAGACGGTACATATTACGGTACCATGGTACCGTCATGGTACCTTAGTACTGTTCGAGATGGTACCGGGTAGCATCTGGTACCAGGTTTTGACAGAGCCGGTTGGCTTTTGGTGGTACCTGGCTACCATCGCTGTAACGCCCTGCAACCCGGTCTAATAGAATTGGTTAATTTAATTAATTAATTACTGTTCCGGACCGGAGTTGGGGGAAATGAAAAGTTCTTAGAAAAATTATTTGATCATATCATTAAATTCGTCTTGACTGTCTGATTCTAGAAACACAAACGGATTTAAATTCAGACCCGTTCGGGGGGAAAGCGCGTACCGTTCAGGTCAGATTTTACACTACGGAGTAGGATAAATATTTGTAACCCCCACTCCAATTCCCCACGCCACTCCCATCATCACCCACTCACACATTAAATCTCCCTTTAATCCCCATTACTCTCCTCTTTCAATTTAAACTCATTCCAATCCCTTTTCCCTTAGCATTTTGTAACCTCCCATAATCATCATCACCATCCACCTTCCTCTCCCCTTTATTCGGCCAGACTAGCAGCAAGGAGGGCCTCCGGCGAAGCTCCGGAGGGTGCAAGGTTGAAGGAGAAGAAGGGTTAGGGCGTTCGTGCGAAGCGTAGTCGACGTTCGTCCGTTCGTTAGCACTATTTGTTCATCTCGTTCCATCAATCCCTTCATTTAGAGGTCTCGTTCCATCAATCCCTTCATTTAGAGGTGAGTAGTTGTCCCTCTAATTCTAGAACATTTAGTTATAATCTATGTCGTTACATTCATAGGAATATCATACGCAACCTACGTAGAATCTATGCATGTTCGTAGGTTAACCATCCAACATACGTGAGCCCATGTTATCAAGTTATGTGCTCGTTAATATAAATGTTTTGAAACCTTGTAAGTTCATCGATTTTCTAGCATGGAAATATAAACATTCGTTTCTTTAAAACTTCCAACGTTTTGATGACAAACAAACAGATATAATGGAAGTCAGTGGGCCTTGATAATCGAGTTACGAAATAGAACAGTCGACTATCAGGCCACGCTGGACTCCTCAGATGATTCAGCACAGCGTGATAATCGATTATCACATGTGTGATAATCGACTATCAGGCCCTGCGGATTCTTGGGTCTGAGTTAGCTTTACCGATAATCGATTATCACATAGGCAATAATCGATTATCAGGGCTCTCTAAACTTAGGACTTTCTGAAAAAACCAACTTGACAATCGATTGTCATAGGGTGACAATTGACTATCACAGTCTGCGGGACTTTGGGGACAGAAGCTGCACAACATGATAATCGACTATCAACAGTAGACAATCGATTACCAGCCAGTTTTGAACCCAAGGCCGTCATGCTGAACAAATTGTAATCAAACACATATGTATGCATTGAATTTAACTCCCTTCTTTAATCAATGCATTCATTCCATCATGTTCGTTCTAGACGAATGTTCTAGGTTTTCATCATGTGCATACTGCTGTAGGGAGGACTTCGTGCGCCTACTACAGTGGGCCCGTCCAAGAACCTTTGGGGACCAACGGGTTTTCATCATGTTGGGCTTGTGTACGTACATAGTAGTCAGGTTACGGCTACTACCCGGTTTTTCTAGTCCACTCGCGATATTTTCGTCGTGCCCGGCTCGTTACCGTTCGGGGACGATGACCGGAGTGCAGGGGTGATCTTGTCGGGTGAGACTAAGCCAGGGGTGTCCCTGATAGTTTACGTCATGCATCAAGTCATGTATCATCATCATGTATGTGCCTTGTTATTTGAAATAGCTTGAACAGGTGAAAACTAAACAGTTAGTAACATGTTGTAACACCCTAATCCGTCCAGGTCTGCAGCCCCATTCGGACTAAAGTATTTAACTTAGTAATCGTAAAATTTAAAACTTTTCATACACACTTTATTAATATCAATAATATTTTTCATAACATATACAGTACGGAGTATTTAACAATATTGCGGAAGCAAATTTAATATTGACATATCATAAATTATTTCAAAACTTGTCACATCCATCCTGACAATCTCACCCCATCTACCGCCAGGATCACATTAATCTTTCTGTTTACCTGCGTGTAGCAAATAAAACACACTACACGCTCAGCGCTGAAGCTGAGTAAGCATATCTAAAGCGTCGAACATCCACATAAATTGAATCTCAATTCATAATCAACCATTTGATATCATGCACAGAATATATGGTTCAAACATTCATAATATTTTCAATATTTTATTCCAAGTCATTTGATATTCAATATATCAATAATGCTCTTAAATTATTCTTAATCTAAGGCCACATCATTTTATATTCAGTTCTTAGCTATTTTTAGTCTAAGGCAGTAATTCTAACCAGGCCCTTAAACTATAAATAGTTTAATGCAGAACAAAAGAATCAATAATCCACCCTAAGAGTCATGTGGATTACGTACCAAACCGAACAGTGATCTGTCGGGTGGGTGATATCCGGTCTGGATCCCGTACGTACGTTTTAACCCCGAATTATGAATTGGTCAAGGAGGTATATCTTAGAGTTCTTCTAGATATCCTTATTAATCATCATCAATTTTCCAAGTAGGTATATCTTAGAGTTCTTCTAGATATCCTTAACAATATACATCATTTTCATAATCATCAATATATTCATTTTTTTTAATCATGATTTAATCATTCGTAATTATTATTTTAATAATAATATTCATCAAAGTCTAATCATAAACAACATCAATAATAATCATCATAATATCTAATAACAAATAGCGGCCTAGCATCGAGTGTTAACACCTTAGCTTACTGTCATATATCACATAAAATTTTATTTGTCAAAACATCATTTTTATTTTATCACATAAAATTTTATTTGTCAAAACATCATTTTTATTTTTAACAATTATTTTTATATTGATCATAATTGATTGGTATATAAAAAAATAGGATTTTATAGCTTCAAAAATAGCATTTTTGGGCTTAAAAATGTTCGTAACGGTCGACCGTTGGGTCCGAACGGTCGTCCGTTCTGTTGGAAAATGCAGGAAATTGAAGGTTCACTATTCATCATCTTCAACCTCTAACCCATTTTTCTCAAGTTCCATTTTTGGTCACTAAACTTCAATTAAACTATATAGAAATGTTCTCCAAGGTTCGTAGATCATTTTAGAGGCATCAATTCGAAGTTTTAACAACAAATTCAAGGTTTATGATTCTTGGTTCTTCACATATGTTAAACACAAAACTCAACCAAACGACCATTTATGAACGTAGAAACGATCTATACGAACATTCTAATCACTAGATATATCTACGGGCTTACTTCGAAGTAAAACGATGATTCTGGCGGAAAAACGGCGAAACTTCAGGCGAACACCATGGCTTGCTCCGGCGACGGGAAGCTCTCCGGACAGCTTCTCTCAACTCTCTAAACTCTCCTCTAACTAATGGGATGATTTTGGTGTGGAGATGATGAAGAATGAATTGCTCTATATATAAGCCTGGGAGAGGGAGTTGCATAGCTATGGCCTGTGATTTCCGTCGATTAAGGTGAGTGGAGTAGGCGGCTAATTTAATTCCTTCCAGTTTAGTTTGATTAAATCAACTCAATTGGGGTACACTTTTTGGTCCAACTTTATCCAAATTAAAATCCGTTTACACCGTTGCGATCAGACAGTCAAACTTTATTTAATGATATAACTTTTATATTTATTTGAAATACTTTTTCTGACAGCATATTTTTGGGTGTTGACTTTGACAGAGTAAAAATTGAATTAAAATTAGTCTCATATTCAATCAATATTATTAAATATAAATATTTATTTCAATAAATCATTTTACAAAAGTTCACATCTTTGACTTTTTCTCATTTTTATACAAATTACATATTTAAAATGTCATAACTGAACCTCTGTACATCAGATTTATTCATAAAATATACCGTTGGATTAGTCTCTTTGAGACCTATCCATAAAAGTCAATCTTAACAAAAATCATTGACTCCAAAAATTCCTTCATTTTTGGTCAAACATAGAAATAATGCTTTGTTGAGTCAAAATATGGTTTCTAAAAATACTTTTATAATAGAATAACTTTTAGACCATGTTTTGGGGCGTTACACGTGTGGTCTCCTGTACGTTAAGTACAGGTATTAGTATGGGTATAGCCATATGGGTTACCACTTAATGTTCTTTTGTTAGATTCACTCCTCAGCTTTTGCTGAGCGTGTAGTTGTTTTTGCTACACGCAGGTAGACATGACAGAGCTGGTGCCAACCCTGGAGAGCAGTGACGATGGGGAGATGGGCGGCGCTCGGATGAACTCATATTACTATTAAGTACTTGATTAACTACTTGGGCATGAACCCACCCTTTTCGTTATTTAATTTGGACTCGACTTATTTATTTACTTCCGCATTTACTCTACACTTTTTACTACACACGTTTTGGGAGTAACTCCCTGACATTTATTTCACTAATTAAAACCCAACTGTTTTCTTATTAAATAACCATTAATGTTTTTGTAACGGATGGTTCTCGGACAGCCCATGTAACCCTACCGGTCCGTCGGGTCGCGGGTGAACCGGGTCCACGGAAGGGTGGTGTTACAATCGCAATGGTAGGGCCTACTGCCTTTGTAGTACTTCCGTACCGTATACGCGATAGCTACGCACCAGGTCTGCGCGAGGTTTGAACAGTGTCAACTTCAACCTTGGGTTACTTTTCGAAAACTTCATTTTTAGCCTTTAAACTTCAATTAAACTATATAGATATGTTCTCCAAAGTTCATAGATCATTTTGGTACCATTAATTTGATGTTTTATCAACAATTTGAAGGTTTTTGATTCATGGTCCATCAACTATGTCAAAAACAACACTCAACCAAACATCTTTTTATGAACGTAGAAACGATCTATATGGACATTCTAATCACTAGATATATCTAAGGGCTTACCTCGGGCTAAAAAGAGGTTTTGGAAATTTTCTGGCGAAACTTCTGACGAACACCACATCTTCCTTCGACGATGCATGTCTCTCTCTCTCTCTCTCTCTCTCTCTCTCTCTCTCTCTCTCTCTCTCTCTCTCTCTCTCTCTCTCTCTCTCTCTCTCTCCGGACAGCACCACCGCGTTCTCCACACTCAAAGCTAACTCTCAATACAAGATCGAAGGGAAATGGTATAAAATGGGGAGAGTTGGGTCTGCCTTATATAGCAATGGTGAAGATAAAAAGACATTCCTAGCTAACTCTCCGCTAGGAATGAACGTCTAGACGGACATCTTGACAAATGAGGTGAGTCAAAACTTGCTCCGATAACATGATAGAAATTTCAGATTGGGATAGGGATCTTTAGACTAGGTCATAAGACACTTGGGTTGAACCAAATTAAAAGATTGAATCCAATCGATTATTTAGTTCAACTCAAGAGCTTACATAGCCATTGTTTTCTTACTTTTTCAATGTGAGATGCCCTGTTTTAACATATCTAGAGACATTTTTTAAAAAATGTAAAAAACTCAGTATAGGAACTCAAACACTATAATTCCAAAACTAATTGGTGTTATTAGTAAACTAAATGTGCACATCGAAATTTGCAATCAACACACACAAGCATCCACAATGTTAGGCTATAACTTAGCCCCCTAGAATTCCGCTTAGGGACAATTATTGATGCATGAGTGCCCAACACTTATTCGCAAAATTAAGGGGCAAAAAATCCGAAATACAGTAAACAAGGTTTGAGTCCAAATAAAGTTGTAGGTAAGTTTCAAACACAATGGCTAATAGGGGGCTAGTCCCATCATGGACCACATACGGTAGATAGAGATGAAGCACATATATCTAGCAATTTGGAGAGTGTAGGTAAGGTGTAGTAGTTTATGGAGCTTGGGCTGCTGGTTGGAACCATTCGCAAAACATTTGGAGAGTGTCACCATCGGCTCTATGATGCTTTTGGGTGAAGGAGAGGAGATCTGACCATGTGAACTCTGGATACATTCTTGGGTTCTCTGTGCTGATGAGATCTTCAGGTGCTTTTATGGTTTTGTCTTCTTTAGAAGACACAAAAAATGCCAACGATAATCTATCGTGCTCTTTGTTTGCCACTACCCTGTGTAGACAACTTTTGTACGTGTTATTTGTCAAAGCCTGCACATGCGTACACACATTATTATAGAGAATATTGCATCGTCGTAACAATTTAAAATAAAACACATTATAGTTATTGGGAGGTCTTTTTTAAAACTATCATAGAAATTAAAAATGATTTTGTATTTCTTTTATAAAACAAATAGTGTGATTTCATATTATTAGCTCTCTCTAATTTCTCGATAGCACAACCTTAATGTCTTTTTTAATAGGCAAATTCTTTTGTAGTCTTTATCTTCATGCTCATTCTATAAACCTTAATGCATAAAATGATTATATGTATTGGGCCTTATAAAATGAAAGAGATCTAATGATGAACCTATAAAAAAATGTGTGAGATGGTCCATAATAATTTACATTTAGACTTTAGGATCACAATAGCACAATAGGCACCCGCAGACACTCAATGTATGTGGTACGCACAGACATTGAGTGTTTCTAAGTAATTATTTTTGTCTTGGGATACACTTGGTATACCCCAAGTGTTGTTCTCCAAGCATTTTCCTAAGTGTAATCGTATACAACTAGAAGGGATGATGTTTGTTTAGGGTATTTTCTGCTATGTTATTATCCAAAAACACATAGATTCACAGGTGTGTGTATCTTGTGATTTTAGCATTGCTCGCGACGAAATGCTTTTGAACATGATGATATTATATGAGGAATAAATGTTGCACAATTCAAACTATTTTAATATTCAAATACAATATAATTACTGAACAATACTAAATGAGCCGAAAAAAGTAGACTCTAACTTTTGGTGTCTTATAAAAACAACAACATTACCCAAGTGCCTAAAAGGTTTTTGCCAATTGCAGGGTGAGGAGATTCGGCTGTAGGTACATAGTCGATTTAAGACATAGAGTTGTTTTTTTACATAACTATGATCAGCGTCGAAATTAAAGTTGTATTGAGTAACTTTTACTCACTATAATGCGAAACACAAACTATATACTCCCTCCTTCCCTAAATCATTACTCTTTACGCAAAATGAAGTAAAATTTTAAACAATTCATTTTCTTTAAAGATTGGTGTATAAATAAAAAATAAAACTTACATATTTATAAGTAATTAAAAGTTCTACAAAACAAGACGTAACAATAATATATTATTTCATCAAATAGTCAATGAAAACACACAAATAGTCACAAGTTCGCGCTATTTTTGAATAGTAAAATGTGCAAACCATTTAGGGATAGAGGGAATAAAAAATTATGAGGTACTTGCTCTATTTTATACTCCCTTCGTCCCTTGAACTCCTTCCGCTTTTTTTTCTTGTCCCACTAACTCCTTCCCTTATTTATTAAAAAACCACTTTTACCCCTTACTTTTTCATACCCTAACTATCACATTATATCTTTTACTAATAATATATCCATCACATCTTACTTTTACCCATCATATCAAGAGTATTTTTGGTAAGTCAACACCAGAATATGTCTTCCTTAATTTCTCAAAAAGTCAATAAGGGAACGACTTTAAAGGACGGAGGGATTAATACTCTAAAGCCAAAAAGTAGCTAGGGAATGATTGTCTCTATTGAAGATGATGGAAAGTAGGGGTGTGCACCGGTCCAAAATCGGACCGGAACTGGAATCCTCTATTTGCAAGGACCGAAGACCGGACCTGTTAGATACCGGTCCGAACCTGTCCGGACCTGAATTTTCCGGTCCGGTCCGGGTTTACCCTATTATGGATCAGATTTTAAACATTAATGGCCTAATTTTCATTATAAAAAATTCATATCTAAATTATATTGGTATATATATATATATATATATATATATATATATAATATCATCAATTCCCAAATTCCTAACAATAACAATTCACTAGGGAGGACAATTGTTAAATTCATAAGTTCATAACACTACAAAATCGATGAAAAAAATCTCAAACCAAACTTCAAAGAAAAAAATTAAATAAAAAATACTTAAAGTAAAAATTGAAATTAAGTAACATATCATGCTAGGAGCCTAAGAGAATTAAAAAAAGAAGAAATTTGAAAGGATAATGGTTTAATGAATTAACTATTTATTAAAAAATTTAATATTTTATTATATACCGGTCCGGACTAGAAACTTTTGGGTTTATACCGGACCGGAACCCGGATTTTTAAATTTTGGAGGACCGAAGACCGGACCTGAAAGTTCCGGACCGGTCCGATTCAGGTCTAAATTTCGGTCTGGACCTGGTAATGCACAGCCCTAATGGAAAGTAACTCTCAACTCCATAATCCAACATCTAATATTTCGATTTATTTTTTATATGGAATCTAAGAGAGAGATAGATGACATAGTTAAAATCGGTAAA